ACTTGAACGTTGTAGTTGAGCCAAACGGCTGCAGTATGACGTGATTCACCGTCGTCTTCTGGTGAGATCGCCTTAAAAATCTCTTCTTTATGCTCTTTTATACGAAATGAAGGTCTGCCAAAAAAGGTTATTTCAGCAGATTCATCGAAACCCAGTTACTCTACGCATTTTCAAAATAAGTGTAGCAACCCTGACACTTAATTGTATGAACCTAATGCATCATTTTTTTCGACAAGGACTAGTTTCTTATTGCATTTTAGGCAGACTACGATCATGCATTTCCCTCATTCCTAACTTTGATTCCTATTAACGTAGTTCAATAGCTTTGCTGGCGGGCAGAGGTGCACCGGTGGCCAATCAATGCTTCAAAGAATGTTTCTTAATTCGTTGGTAGGCTTGACCCTTGACCTGAAAATATTTCTGTGCCTTTGACGAAGCGCTAATTGGAGGACGGGCAGATATCAGAAAATAGGCCTAAGCAAGCCTAAATTATCAACAACTTTCCAGTCAATAGCACATTCGTGGCGCATGATGTGGGTTAAATAAACACAACTGCTTCATATGCCGAATGACTGGATATGCGATTTAGACTACCCTGGCCAGCTTTACATGCTGGAAGGCCTGATAAATGAGCGTTTCATAATGAAATGAGAAGAAGGTCTCACGATGTCAAGCTGTACGAACGTTGATGACATCATGTGTTGATAATTCTATGCTCGGGGTTAAAAATGGCCACGAATCCCACGGCTCTTACCCTCATGATTCAAGGTAGCCCTAGTCCAATCTGTGTCCCACTAAGACCTAAGGTGAAATGTGAAGTCCGACTGAACGACTCTATGGAGAATCATGTTACAAGTCTGGTTTCTTGACACACATGACTTGAATTCCTCACTTCGGCTAAGAGCAAGTTTCGAAATCTCGTAGATATCTCTGAAATAGACCGCATTTACAGAATACCAGTGGATCTGACATAAGAACAGTATTCACTTTGAGATTTATTCACCCAATTTCGTTTATGGTGATGAAGGACTGGTAGAAGAAGAATTTTCCCACAATGATATGAGTTGAGCTGAAGTTTCCATTCAATTTCACACATTTTCGTATTGGAGTAGAGTTTCGAGACTACCAGTAAATCAGTAATATGAGATGTATTCACCCAATTTTGTCTAAGATGGTGAAGGACTGGTAGTAGAATTTTTCCACAATGACATGAGTTGAACTGACGTTTTCATTAAATTTCACATAGCCTTGCTTTCCCAAAAGTTTTTCCCATTCAGGCACCAGTGGACTGCAATTTCGACCTCGTTCAGCTCTGCTCATATCATTAAGGGAAAATTCTTCTTCTACCATAAACGAAATTGGGTGAATACATCTCATATTACTGATTTACTGGTAGTCACAAAAACAATACTTTATTCGAAAAATAAAGTATTCACTCTATTTCTTTTAAGATGATGAAGGAATGGTGATTGAAGTTTCTCATAATCTGTTGAATAGACCTTATGTTAACATTGCATTTCACAAAAGCATTGCGTCCCAAGATCTATTCTCATCCAAACACCAGTTGACTACAGTTTCGACCTCGTCTAGGTCTCATCACCATCTCTTGCAAACTCGAAGCATGGCAGTGCAGCGTGTAATCTGGACACACTTACCACTACCCCATATTTCCATGAGTGTCCTTGGGTCATGGGACATATGCAGGTTTTTTTCTGAAACGATGATAAAAGATTCATACTCTCGGTAAACCTATTTCTGAAACGAAAAGAAAGTAATGTTGTCGATTGCTATGGCAAATACTACTTTGCTTATTCAACAATCCCACCACAGAGTGTGATAGTAGAATATGTCTGGCCTTCCTTGAAATTCGCATCTGTCCTGTTACTTAGGGGCACTCATGACAATGTGGCGTCATGGTTACTGTGTGAAGATTAGAAGCTGCACTACCACAATCCTGGGTCAAGTTCCGCTGGGAGTGATGATGAGACCTGAACGAGGTCGAAACTGTAGTCCACCCCTGTCTGGATGAGAATACATTTTGGGATGCAAGGCTTTGTGAAATTCAACGGAAACGTAAGGTCTATTCATCTGATTGTGGGAAATTTTAACTAACAGTTCTTCAGCACCTTAAACGAAAATATGGACATACAAATTTAATAGGATTCTATTAACAGCAACCATATTCATCGCAATAAAGTCTGCACAAGATGGGTTGAACATTTTGATAAATGTAAAGATCGCCATTGATGCCATCATCAGCAAATTCAACTTTAAGTTCATCTTAGCTTGGATGACATACAAGAAACTTAGAGTGATGCATATCCACTTATTCATCTGCTTAAATATATCATGGTAGCTACTAAGAGCGACTGGGTTCCGATGAATCTCCAGATATAGCATTGTTATGAGGACTTTCATTTCGTACAAAAGTGCGTAAAGAAGAGATTCATAGGTCGATCTCACCAAAAGAGGATTTAATACGACATTCAGTCTCCTATCGCTTTGGGCGAAAACGGACTGAGCTTTCGTCCATCATTTGATGCACATCATCAGAGTTGGAACTCATTCTTCTAAAATTCTATCAAATGATGGATGAAAGCTCAACCAGTTTTCATCCGAAACGAGGGAGTATGTCTCGTGGACTGCGTCAACCGGAACGTTGTATTTGAGCCAAACGGCTGCAGTACAACGGGATTTAGCCGTCGTTTTCTGGTGAGATCAACCAACGAATCTCTTCTTCATGCATCTACTTTCTCACTAGTCTTCTTAGAAAAAGGGTATGGTTGCAAAATAAAGACCTAAGAAAAGGTCTATCTTTGATTAAATATTCTCCGTCTGAAAGTAAATCGGTTTACTATCTCTCATCCAAAGCGTATGGGCCGGTTTCACTGAAATGAACTAGCATTTTTCCTCATGACTTC